GAACAACTGAATCAGAAAGAGGAGAAGGTACTTCCTTCCCCCCATATTGTCCACATTAATACTGCATTTCCTGGGGCTGTGGCAGGTAGGGTTTAGGGTAAGAGAAAGACCATGAGCCAGGTTCTAGTTTCTGGACAGGCTAGTAAATGAAAGCCACAAAGATGGGTAGAGAATGATAAGCCAAATGGCAGAGATTTAACAATAATATTAGTCCTTATAGTGGTCATGGGACAAACCAAGCTGGAGAACCAGGAGAATGCCACCTCATGGTATAGGGGGAGTGGAAGAATATCAACTTCCCCACAAGAAAGCTGTGGAAATAGTTGACTAGGTTTCTGTAAAGGCAAGGAGATGGAAAGAGTGATCTGAAAGGAGACTGAGGTTTTGGAGAAAATTGTTAACAATTAATAGGAGCCCTGGTGGCACAGTGGTTAAGCGCTCAACTGCTAACCAAAAGCATGGCAGTTCGAACCCACCAAGTACTCCACAGGAGAAAGATGTAGCAATCTGCTTCCATATATATTTACAGCACTGGAAACTCGATAGGGCCGTTTTACTTTATCCTATAGGGTCGCTGCCCCCACGCTTCTGTCAGTTTCTCGTACTGTGGGGGTTTACGTGTTGCTCTCATGCTGGAAGCTATGCCTCTGGTATTCAGAATCCAGCAGGGTTACTTGTGTGTGATATTAATGATACTGTCTGATAATTTCTCCATTCTGTGGGATACTTTCCTTTGGAATGGGCACACATATGGATCTCTTCTAGTCATTTGGCCAGGTAGCTGTCCTCCAAATTTCTTGGCATAGATAAGTGAACACCTCCAGTGCTGCATACATTTGCTGAAACATCTCAATTGGTATTCCGTCAATTCCTGGAGCCTTGTTTTTTTCGCCAATACGTCAGTGCAGCTTGGACTTTTTCCTTCAGTACCAATGGTTCTTGATCATACGTTACCTCCTGAAATGGTTGAACGTTGACCAATTCTTTTTGGTACAGTGATGCTGTCTATTCCTTCCATCTTCTTCTTTTAATTGTGCTTTAAATGAAAGTTTACACTTCTAGTTAATTTCTCATACAGAAATTTATCCACACACTGATATACGACCCTAGACGCTCTCCCCATACTGTGACAGCCCACTCTTCCTTTCCACCCCAGATTTCACATGTCCATTCAACCAGCTCCTGTCCCTTTCTGCCTTCTCATCTTGCCTATGGACAGGAGCTGCCCTTCCATCTTCCTTTGATGCTTTCTGCATCATTCGGTATTTTTCCCGTACAGTATTTTAACATTGCAACTTGAGGCTTGAATTTTTTCTTCAGTTCTTACAGCTTGAGAAATGTTGAACGTGTTCTTCTCTTTTGGTTTTCTAACTCCAGGTCTTTGCACATTTCATTAAATACTTTATTTTGTCTTCTTGAGCCATCCTTTGAAATCTAAGCTATTTCACATTGAGTGGGATAATACAATATTTGTTTCTTTTGTGTCTGACTTCTTTCACCTAATATAAAATTTTCAAGGTTCATCCATGTCACAGCATGTATCAGGACTTCATTTCTCTTTATGGCTGAGGAATATTCCACTGTATGGACATACCACATTTTCTTCATCCAGTCACCGGTTGATGGATATTTGGGTGGTTTCCACCTTTTGGCAATTATGAATAGTGCTGCAATGAACATTGGTGTACCAGTTATATGTTTGTGTCCCTGCTTTTAAGTCTTTTGGGTATATACTATCAGCCCTCCATATCTTCAGGTTCCTCATCCATGGATTCAACCAACCTTGGATCAAAACTATTCAAGGGCGGAAAAAGGTTCCAAAAAGCAAAATTTGAATTTGCCCTGTGCTGAGCACTACACTGAATTCACGCCAATGAAGTGATGAGTAGGCACACCCTGCTGTAGTCCCCCAACATTTCACAGATTCTCGGTCTCTCTCCAGCACTCACTGTAGAGCACTGTTCGCCTTGAGTCTTGTCATTATTCCTGAAACAATACAGTGCTGTACAACAGCTATTTACATAACATTTACAGTGCATTAGGTATTACAAATAACCTGGACATGATTTAAAGTACATGGGAGGAGGTACGCAAGTTATATGCAAGTAATATATAAGGGATTTCAGCATCCTCCAATTTTTGTATCCTCAGGGGTTCTGGAACCAATCCCCCACAAACACTGAGGGGCAATTGTACATGGGAGTGGAACTGCTGGGTTCAGTTTACCCGTTGCCATCGAGTCAATTCCAACTCATAGCAACCCTAGAGGACAAAGCAGAACTGCCACATAGGTTTTCAAAGGGGTACCTGGTGGATTTGAACTGTTGACTTTTTGGTTAGCAACAGAACTCTTAACCACTATGCCACCAGGGTTTCCTCAGTTTACTAATTAGTCACAAAATAAAACAGAAAACACAGAGCCATCACATGCCAGACTTCAGACATGCCACCCCACATCTAACTGGTAGATGCCAGGCTCTAGTCCCAATTTTGTTATTAACTAAGGCAGATGGCCTTTCTGGGCCTCAGCCTTAAAGTCTGCACAGAGGGCCTGGGGTGGTGGCTATACGGTCCTGAAGAATATTCCGGCTCTACTAGTCTATGATTTAGGGACAGAATATGGTATTTATCAGTCCGTTTTTGCCCTAGAAACTAGTGCCTCATGTTGTCTTTCAGGATGCTGCCTCCGCAGTCTGAGGGGTATGGTGGTGGCACCATGGCTTCTCCAAAGCAAAGGTGTCACCCTTTCCAACCTTAAAGAGACAAATCAGCAGGCAGGCCTAGCACTACTTGCACCTCTTAATTTTATATTCAGCAGCCCACAAAGACCAAAAATATCCATCATTCATCGGTTCGCTAAGCACAGTGCCCATTCTGCACAAAGATACTCCATTAATTTCTCAGGGAAACTCTGTGTCAGGGAGAATGCTGAACCAGATTAAAGTGACAGTGGTTTAAATACTATTTCTGTTTTTAATGGCACTTTAAGTTATTTCTGTAAGGCAAAGGTGACACTTTCCTGTATGCCCAATGAAAGCTGTTATATAATGACACCGACCACAATTCATTTAACTGTTTAAAAAAGATATTCAACATTAATTGCAGCTCCCCTAATAATGTTCATGTGTCGATTCCGACTCTAGTGACCCTATATGAAGGAGCAGAACTGTCCTATAGGGTTTCCTAGGCAGAAATCTTTATGGAAGCAGATTGCCAGGTCCTTCTTCCCATGGAGCTATAGGTTGGTCTGAACTGCCAACTTTCCAGTTCACAGCTGAGCACTTAACCATTGTGCCACGAGGGTTGCTTCCCCTAATAACAGACGCTACCATTTGATAACGTACAACCATGTGCTAAACAGACCCACCAGCTGCAAGCTTATTCCCACTCATGTGACCCCATGTGTGTCACAGTAGAACTATGCTCCATAAGGTTTTCAATGGCTGATTTTTCGGAAGTAGATCTCCAGGTCTTTCTTCCCAAATACCTCTGGGTGGACTTGAACCTCCAACCTTTTAGAGGAGCAAGCACTTAACCATTGGTGCTGCCCAGGGACTCCGCTCAAACCCAAACCCACTGCCGTCGAGCCGATTCCCACTCACAGCAACCCTACAGGACAGAGTAGAACTGCCTCACTGGGTTTCCAAGTAGCAGCTGGTGGATTTGAACTGCTGACTTTTTGCTTAGCAGACCTTCAGGTTAGCAGCCGTAGCTCTTAACCACTGCACTACCAGAGCTCTGCTAGACAAATACTTATTCTAACCTTCGCAACAAATCCTGCAGTACTACCCCCACTTCAGAGATGAATGCCTAAAGAACTCACATACTTTGCCCATGAGCTTCATGAAAGCCCTTTCTGCCTTGATCCCGCAGCCTGGCACAGGAGGGATGTTCTATAAATATTAGTCAAATGCAAGATTCTTTTCAAAATGGCAAAACAAGTTTCACAGCTAAGTCTGACTGTAGCATTCCCAGATCCCTCTCACTCAAGGTGTCTCATCAAGATCTGCAAAGGGCTAATAAGCCAATCACTCTGGCTGATTGCAAACCGACCCCACAGGGATATGCCATCTCTCCAGAGAACTGAACAAAGTGTGGGAAATCAAAATAGATGCTTGGAGAAGACCGCGGACCTTCCAATCCCAGCCGCCAAAAATCTCAGAAAATCAAACAAGTTAACTGCGTTGTTAGCCAATAAGAAACAACCTAAAAGAGGTTTTAAGTTTTATCTTCAGTTTTCCCGTAGGCACTGTAACTCTACACTCTTCCTGGAGACGTCCACTACAAAGGTGTTTAAAGACCCAGGGAGGCTCCCTGCAACCCTCAGGATTCGGGCTTCCTCTGGCCAAAATTCCCACCGTACACGGACTCCTTGTACAGAAACACCTGAGGACTGAAGGCACGAGTAAACGGAGCTCGAACTTGCAAGACTGCAAACAAGGCAGTTTAAACCCAGAGGCCTCAACACAGGGCAGAGATGCCAGTACTACCGTTAGGTATTTAAAAGCAAATAAAAAGCCTTTTAGAAGCCCCACAGCATTTCACTGCAGGGGAAACTTCAGCAGAGAAGGCCTAAATTTAGAAGAGAAAGAAGCCGGAAGCTTGGAGAAGAGCAACTAGGCAGTTCTCCCACGTGGGCCGCCGGCAGTAAGGGAGTCAGGGAGCGGAAGCATAAGTTGGACAAGACACCAGGAGACAGTCTCACGAGCTGCAGGTGCGCAGCCACCTGGGGCCACCCTCCAGATCCAGGGCAGAGGAATGCTGCCAAGGGTGTTGCCTACCCACGCGGGTGCGAGCGCAGATGAGACCAAGGGTGAGGGCCAGTTTGCAAGCATACCCCTCTTTCTTCGAGGCGAGTCGGACCCGGGCGCCGCGCCCTAGACCATCCGAGCCGCGGCTGGGGCGCAGGGGCAGGAAGCACGGCCAAAGGCACGGTTCCCCAGAAAAGGGGCGAGGGGTCACCAGGCTGCGCGGAGTGCGGCAGGGACAGCTAATCTCACCTTTACAGCCGTGGTGGCGGCGCCCGAGGACATGTCTGCAGGAGGCAGGGCACGTCACTGCCCCATGCTGGGGGGGAAACTCAGATCTGTTCGCCGGGCCGAGCAAGCCAGGAAGCGAACACGGGTTCAAACTCTGGTAAGGAAACGAGCAGCGTAAGATCGCAGTGCGGGCGGGGGAGGGCTGCCTGACCCCGCCTCTTCCTTTCCGGTAAGGGGCTGGATTGGGTGTTGCGCAGGATCTCCGCCAAACCCCTCCTCAAAGAGCGGGGCCGTGGTCCGCACTTTTGGGGAGAGCCTTCTGGTTCTCGGTTTCTTTTTATTTTCCAACCCCTGTTTTAACTAGCGAGTTCACAGTAATGGGGTAGAGACCATTTAAGGAGAGCTTGCGTGGTGCCAGACCCTGTGCTATATCCTTTAACGAGCTCATCTAACTTTCACAAAAACCCCGTAAGGAGGACTAGCAGTCCCAGCTCTGCTCAGTACAAGCTGTAAGGCAAGGCCTGCCTGCAATCCTGAAGTTCTCCAGGGAGTGAGGACTGTCTTCACTAGATGAGAGTCACTCTTGCTGCTAACTCCTGGCGTTGGGGGGGGGGGGGGGGGGGGGTAACGGTGTTTTCCACCACTGTGACCCAAGCAGAAGTTAGCTCATTTACTTTATAGGCACCAGGGCAGAAATGAGGTTGACCCAAGACTGCCTTAATTCAGGTATCTGGATGACACAGGAGCCCTGGTGACACAGTGGTTAAGAGCTCGGCTGCTAACCAAAAGGTCAGCAGTTCGAATCTACCAGCCACTCCTTGGAAACCTTATGGGACAGTTCTACTCTGTCCTCTAGGGTCTCTATGAATCGGAATCGACTTGCCAGCAAGGAGTTTTTTTAGTTTTGGATAATGTAAGGGAAATAGACAAAGAGTAGTGAGCTACTGGTTAACCTTTCTGTTTTACAAAGTATGGCTTACTCACCTTCAACTTGTGTGTGTGTGTGTGTGTGTGTGTGTGTGTGTGTGTGTGTGTGGCCTTTTAAAGGGATGAGGCCATCTTTAACCCCTTCCACCCCAAGCTGCATCCAGTACACCTTGATTCAGAATCCAGGCTCTTATTTCCATCTTTTC